CCACCAAACGGTCATTACAGAACCCCCTACGGCCGGCCTGACCGTTCCACCTCTCCAGCCCTGACTACGCCTGTGTTCCTGCACCTCCTAAAGATTAGTGGAAGGTTGGTTTGTTCACTGTGCGTTTATATAGATATATATCTGGGTGGCTAATAATAAACTATTATATTACCTGCGTTTCCCTGTGTCAGTCCACACCTTTCTGGTCATTCCTTCATTCCTGACATCACACCAAGGCCCAGAGCACAGGCCTGGTCATGCCTTATATACACCTTTCTACAATCAGCCCCAGGTTTGGCTGATTGTGAGCTTCTGGCTGCTAAGAGCACCCGCTGGTCAGCTCTGGTACTGCAGCCCACACGGCAGGTGAGTTCCACCACCAGTGCTGAGAGCACCCGCTGGTCAGCTCTGGTACTGCAGCCCACACGGCAGGCGAGTCCCACCACCAGTGCTGAGTCCATTCCTGACAATTGCTCTTGAATGCCTGTCAGCCTCCCCCTTGCTTGTATGTGTAACCACGTGCCCGCCAGTCATGTACCTGGTAGGTTCCTGGACTTCAGGTGGTTGTACCGGGGTGCAACAACTGCATCATCATCCCAGTTTGGTTATTTAGAGCTTATGTGCCGTTTTGTTGGGTATTTGCACTTCTATGGGCATAGAAAACTCTCATTTGATTGGACACTAGAGGTAAGCACTGGAGGGAGCAGCATTGGGCAAAGACTGTACAACCGGCATGGAAGTCAACTACGAGAATGAAGGACTTAAAACCCTTCAGAGAAACTGCTTGGAAGCCATCGGCTCATTAGTGGAACTCTTAATCAAGAGCCTTGAGAAGGCGCCAATGCAGAAAAGGCTCTTCAGCCTCAGGAATGATCCTGGCCGTGAAGCGTTTTGCAAAAAATACTGACTCTTCTTTTTTTTTTGAGGACACACACCTCAACAAAACCAACATTAAGACATGGATGGGGACCCTGATATGTTGGGGACCTTCAGGAGGCGGCAGTATTGCTCCTGAATGCCTGTCAGCCTCCCCCTTGCTTGTATGTGTAACCACATGCCGGCCAATCACGTACCTGGTAGGTCCCTGGACTTCCAGTGGTTGTACCGGGGTGCAAGAACTGCATCATCATCCCGGTTTGGTTATTTAGACCTTATGTGCCATTTTGTTGGGTATTTGCACTTCTATGGGCGTAGAAAACTCTCATTTGATTGAACAGTAGAGGTAAGCACTGGAGGGAGCAGTACTGGGCAAAGACTGTACAACCGGCATGGAAGTCAACCACGAGAATGAAGGACCAAAAACCCTTCAGAGAAACTACTTGGAAGCCATCGGCTCATTATTTGAACTCTTAATCGAGAGCCTCGAGAAGGTGCCAACGCAGAACCGACTTTTCAGCCTCAGGAATTATCCCGGCCGTGAAGTGTTTTTGCAAAAAAATACTGACTCTTCTTTTTTTTTTTTGAGGACACACATCTCAACAAAACCAACATTAAGACATGGATGGGGACTCTGATATGTTGGGGACCTTCAGGAGGTAGCAGTATTGCTCCTGAATGCCTGTCAGCCTCCCCCTTGCTTGTATGTGTAACCACGTGCCGGCCAATCATGTACCTGGTAGGTCCCTGGACTTCCAGTGGTTGTACCGGGGTGCAAGAACTGCATCATCATCCCGGTTTGGTTATTTAGAGCTTATGTGCCATTTTGTTGGGTATTTGCACTTCTATGGCGTAGAAAACTCTCATTTGATTGACAGGAGGTAAGCACTGGAGGGAGCAGTACTGGGCAAAGACTGTACAACCGGCATGGAAGTCCCACGAGAATGGGACCAAAAACCCTTCAGAGAAACTGCTTGGATCCATCGGCTCATTATTTGAACTCTTAGAGAGCCTAAGCCACTTTTCAGCCTCAGGAAATTAGGTGAGCAAAAAAAATACTGACTCTTCTTTTTTTTTTTTGGCACACATCTCAACAAAACCAACATTAAGACATGGATGGGGACTCTGATATGTTGGGGACCTTCAGGAGGTAGCATGGAATGCCTGTCAGCCTCCCCCTTGCTTGTATGTGTAACCACGTGCCGCCAATCATGTACCTGGTAGGTCCCTGGACTTCCAGTGGTTGTACCGGGGTGCAAACTGCATCATCATCCCGGTTTGGTTATTTAGAGCTTAAGGACACTTCTATGGGCAAGAAAACCTCATCACTAGAGAAGCACTGGAGGGAGCAGTACTGGGCAAAGACTTACAACCGGCATGGAAGTCAACCACGAGAATGAAGGACCAAAATCCCTTCAGAGAAACTACTTGGAAGCCATCGGCTCATTATTTGAACTCTTAATCGAGAGCCTTGAGAAGGCGCCAACGCAGAAACGGCTTTTCAGCCTCAGAAATTATCCCGGCCGTGAAACGTTTACAGAAAATGTTTAATGACTGCTCTTCTTTTTTTTTTTTTTATTTCGAGGACTCACAACTCAACAAAACCAACATCAAGGCATGGATGGCCGTCCATCTGCAAAGCTCTTGGGCATTCTACACTTTGTGACTGATTGGAAGCGAATCTTCATAGGTCAAGAATAACATCATTTACCATAAGGACATTGAGAAACGTGAAGGAGCGGCTCCGGGAATGGTGTCAGGATCGAAGCGCTGACTCAGAGATTCGATGACGGCCTTTACATTGTCAGGGATCCTGCTGCCTCCCGGTAATGACGAGCAGACTGGTCTGGCTCTGAATACGCCGCGTTGGATGAGGACATCATGTTCAGGAGGAACGTCGTCGCCGGGGTTTGTTCAAGAAACAATTTCTATTTTAGGAAAGTAATTGGTCATTCTGGGGATACAGACGGAGGTTCTAACAAGATGAGAGAATTGGGAGGGACATTTATAGGGAATATCTTCCTGTAATATTCGCACTCACATGGATTGGATCTCTGATCAGACTGACTGGGAGAAAAATAATTGTATTAGTTTGCAAACTGGAAAAACATTTCAGAGACATTTTCCAGCATGAAAAGTAACAGATAACCCCCCCCCCACACACACACATTAATGCTGTCAATGCAAGACACAAAATAAATGAAGAAAAAGGAATAAAATAGAGAAAATGTTTATATTTTAAATTATTTAATAAATGTTCAATTTTAATTTTGAAATTTTTTAAAAAAATATTCAAGAATGTTTCATAAAAAAAACATTTCAGAGACATTTTCCTTCATAGATATCAGTAACTTTTTAAGCGTTTGTCTGGTATATTTTCAATATCATATCTTAAAATGTAGCGGACTGAATGTTAACCACCTTCTGCCCGCCCTATAGTCCAATGACGGGCGCGAGGTGGTTCTCTCGTTCTGATAGGACGTCATATGACGTCCTACCATTCTCACTGCGCATGCGCGGCTCAGTGAGCGTGCAGCGCGGCGATTGCCGGTGCGCTGTGTCCCTTGGACACAGCGGATCACGGAAAGAGCCAAAGATGTCGGCTCGGTCATGTGATCAGCTGTGTCCAGTCACAGCTGATCACATGTAAACACGGAAATGCTGGTTATCGGCATTTCTCTCCTCTCGAGCTGTCACACTGACAGAGGAGAGGAGAGCCGGTAATCGGCTTTCCGCGGAGGGGACATGTACACTGATCATCAGGGCACTGATGATCAGTGTGCCCTGATGATCAGTGTGGCCCCAGAATTGCCACCTGTCAGTGTTCATCAGTGCCACGCGCCAGTGCCCATCAGTGCCACATGCCAGTGCCCATCAGTGCCACATCAATGCCACATATCAGTGCATACCAGTGCACATCAATGCCACTCATCAGAGCCCATCTGAGCTGCCTTTCAATGTCAGCAATCAGTGCCAGTCAGTGGCACCTATCAATGCCAATCAGTGCCGCCTATCAGTGCCAGTCAGTGTTGCCTATCAGTGTGCATCAGTGCCAGTCAGTGCCGCCTATCAGTGCCAGTCAGTGCCACCTATCAGTGCCAGTCAGTGCCTCCTAACAGTGCCAGTCAGTGCCGCCTATCAGTGCCAGTCAGTGATGCCTGTCAATGCCCATCAGTGCAACCTACCAGTGCCTCCTCAACAGTGTCCATCAGTGCCACCTATCAGTGTCCATCAGTGCCACCTATCAGTGTCCATCACTGCAGCCTCATTAGCGCATATCAGTGAAGGAGAAAAATCACTTATTTACAAAATCGTATAACAAAAACTAAGAAAAAACTTTTTTTTTTTCAAAATTTTCAGTGGTTTTTGGTTTGTTTAAGAAAAAATAAAAATCCCAGAGGTGATTAAATACCATCAAAAGAAAGCTCTATCTGTCTCAAAAAAATGATAAAAATTTCATATGGGTACAGTGTTGCATGACCGCGCAATTGTCATTCAAAGTGTGACAGCGCTGAAAGCTGGAAATTGGCCTGGGGGCAGGAAGGGGGTATAAGTGCCCTGTAGGCAGGAAGGGGGTATAAGTGCCCTGTAGGCAGGAAGGGGGTATAAGTGCCCTGTAGGCAGGAAGGGGGTAGAAGTGCCCGGTAGGCAGGAAGGGGGTAGAAGTGCCCTGTAGGCAGGAAGGGGGTATAAGTGCCCTGTAGGCAGGAAGGGGGTATAAGTGCCCTGTAGGCAGGAAGGGGGTAGAAGTGCCCTGTAGGCAGGAAGGGGGTATAAGTGCCCTGTAGGCAGGAAGGGGGTAGAAGTGCCCTGTAGGCAGGAAGGGGGTATAAGTGCCCTGTAGGCAGGAAGGGGGTATAAAGTGCCCTGTAGGCAGGAAGGGGGTATAAGTGCCCTGTAGGCAAGTGGTTAAGGGTGTTAAAGAATGTTTTAAAGAAATACTGCTACAGGGCGGCACGGGTGCGCAAAATCATGTGTATATATATGTGATTTTGCGGTTCTGGATAGGGGGTGCGCGTGCCCTACCTGTGCCATCATTCGAGGCCTCGGCTGTTAATCATCGGGTCCCCGCCGGCACCCATCGATCTCTGAGTATTACCGGCGGGGGAGAGAACTGTATGTGAACAATACAGATCTCTCCCCTGTCAGCTGCTGCACACTGCTTTGTATTGCTCTGCATAGCAGCATGCGTACAGTGAAACACACACAGCACACAGTTAACCCTTTGATCGCCCCTCATGTTAACCCCTTCCTGCCCAGTGCTGTTGCAAAAAACTGCGCAAAACACAGTGAAGTACGCAGTTCAACCATTTTGCAGGCACCTCCATCTTGGTACGGAGTATATATTGTGTCTCTTGTTTCTCATTCTCCTTCCCCCTCCCTTCCTGAGAGGCACAGTGACAAATGTGTGTGTGTTAAAAGTGTCACTGGCAGGTAGAGCAGCAGGGAGCCCAGAGCTACAAAGCCCCCCAAGAGAGACAGAGACTAGCTGCCCAAGGACATGTGTAATTTCTCACTTCGTAACCGAGATAAGGCAGCTTTTCCCAGGAATTGGAAGAGATTGTAACCTCATAAAACCTAGCAGCCAGGTGACAGAATTAAATGAACATTCCTCAAGTCATATACATATAAAATGCAGCGCTGTAAAATGATCAAATCATGCAAATCAACACAATAATAGTCCTGAAAAGGTGCTCATTAATTCCCAGTGTCAATGGAAAGAATGCAAACTAACCAGAAGCGCATTTGAAGTACGCATGTGTGTAAGAAATCCTGGAGATTCCCTTCCCTCCCTCTGGTCAGAAGATGGATATGTGCTGAAATGGATGATGATAACGCCCTCTTGTGGAAAAGTGAAATCCTGCAGGCCAGGAAGCTCCCAGGATAGAATATTCCTCTTCAATGGAACCAGGGCTGGGGGGTGAAATCACTCTGTGGCTGTGAAATTGGGAGAGAGACCCTCACAGAGGACACAGAGATACTCATAGTGTAGTATATTACTTCAATTTATTTCAAAAAACCAAGTAAAAAACATGTAATCAGGTGGCAAGTGAAAGTGACCCACTGACCGTCTTAAAATTAAAGGTGGCCGTCGGGCCTCCACATGGCACTGGCGGTGTAGTGTCAACGACGTCCACAGGCTCCCTCTGACGCGTTTCGTGCGCACGCACTTCTTCTGAGGTAGAGCAAGGTAGAGGGCGTTATCATCATCCATTTCAGCACATATCCATTTTCTGACCAGAAGGAGGGGAATCTCCAGGATTTCTTACACACATGCGTACTTTAAATGCGCTTCTGGTTAGTTTGCATTCGTTCCATTGGCACTGGGAATTAATGAGCACCTTTTCAGGACTATTATTGTGTTGATTTGCATGATTTGATCATTTTACAGCGCTGCATTTTATATGTATATGTTTTATTGAGGATTTTTATATGCGTTTATCCTGGATGTTCAGCTGTTGTTTTTTTGAGAGCGCTCACTGTGTGTCTTTTACCTATTCCTCAAGTCAGTTTGTCCCCTGCGTTTCATATCATGGATTATGACAAATGCTGGTTCTAATTCAGAGTTTGCCCGACGATCCCTCCCTAAACAGAGCATTGGTCAGTGACTCAGAGCCACCCCCCTGCTGGGAGACTTTAAAACACAGGCTAGCAGACCTAAAAAGTGAAGTTGAAGACTTCTCCCATTTTTTCCATCGTAACAGCGGGAGATCAAAGCACCATTCTGCTCTGCAACCTGGATCTGCTTACATCAAAGGCTTAAATGGCAAGTAACTTAACCCTTTAACTTCCTCTCTGATATCTCTTTGCTGTGCTATGGTTCTTTGTGTATATATATATATATATATATATATATATATATATCTTAGTTACATCTTTTTCTGTAAATATTTTATTGCACCTTTTTGACTCTTTTAGTAATAAATCTTTCTTTCTGAAAGGGTTCAACTGTTTCTAATGCGCTTAATTGCAATTTACGAATTCCTGCCTCTAAAGAGACGCTACTGTGTTTGTTTAATCCTCTGCCCAATTGGCCTGCGGTGACCGTATTGGACAGACGACTTTTCAACCATTACAGTGTATATTTGATAAAGAGAGTTTCCCCTTTCTCTGTACAAAAAGGGGTGGTGGCAGTGTAAGGGTCAGTTGCGTAATTAACCCGACCCAGTAACAAGCGCATCCAGGCTGCAGGCACAGATTGAAATCCATTAGCTGGAAAATCGCTGTGCAGGGTGCAGCTGGGTGTGGCATTGTTATGCACGTCACATCGCGGTCTGGATCGGCCGATCCTTCAGTCACGAGTTTGGTGAGAAGGTCTGGGGTCTGACGCTGCGATCGTGACATATTGGTGGCAGCGGTTGTGAGATTGTCGCATGTTGGTGGCGGCGATCTTGCGATCGTGAAAAGTGCCATTAGTACAGTGTCGGGGCTTTTTATTAGCACCAATCACTGTATTGGTGTCACTGGGGATGTCAGTGACACCAAGTCAGTTCCTGCCCCCCAGTGTCAGCATGCCCATCACAGTCCCGCTATAAGTCGCTGATCGCCACCATTACTAGTAAAAAAAAAAAAAAAACTCAGTATCTATCCCGCCATTTGTAGACGCTTTAACTTTCACGTAAACCAATTAATTTACACGTATGGAGATTTGTTTCAGCGAAGACACGGAGCGGGAGGTCACAGCGAAGACACGGAGCGGGAGGTCACAGCGAAGACACGGAGCGGGAGGTCAAAGCGAAGACACAGAGCGGGAGGTCACAGCGAAGACGGGACACGGAGCGGGAGGGGAGGTCACAGCGAAGACACGGAGCGGGAGGTCACAGCGAAGACACGGAGCGGGAGGTCACAGCGAAGACACGGAGAGGGAGGTCACAGCGAAGACACGGAGCGGGAGGTCACAGCGAAGACACGGAGCGGGAGGTCACAACTAAGACACGGAGCGGGAGGTCACAACTAAGACACGGAGCGGGAGGTCAAAGCGAAGACACGGAGCGGGAGGTCACAACTAAGACACGGAGCGGGAGGTCACAACTAAGACACGGAGCGGGAGGTCAAAGCGAAGACACGGAGCGGGAGGTCACAGCGAAGACACGGAGCGGGAGACAAGGAGACATTTTGGCCTAAATTTATGATGAAATTTGATTTTTAAAATGTTCTACTGGACGTGTTAAATAGCAAAAAGTAAAAAAAATAAATATTGTTTTATTTATTAAAATTGTCGTGTTTTTGTTGTTTTATAGCGCAAAAAATAAATAAGCGCACAGGCAATCAAGTACCTCCAAAAGAAAGCTCCATTTGTGGGGTAAAAAGGATGAAAATTTCATTTGGGTGCAGCGTTGCATGACCGCGCAATTGTCAGGGAAAATAATGCAGCGCCGTATCACAAAAAATGGCCAGAAAGAGGGGGGGGGGATTTTCTGGGGGGGGGGGTTAAAACATTTTTTTTTTGTTACTATTTGGTCACATTTCCTTTGATATTAAATAAAAAAAAAATCAGGAGATATCTGTGACCAGGGGCGGACTGACCATTCGAGGGCCCGGGGTCAGTAGGGGGCCCCATGGGATGTCCCCGGTACCTTTCATTGGCTTTTTCATAGGCTTTTTTTTGGGTGTGGGCGAGGACACAGGGGCCCCATGATCCCCTATTGCCCAGGGGCCCCATGAGTTGTCAGTCCGCCCCTGTCTGTGACCCTTTCCAACCAAATGAAAGCCCAATGTGTCCTGTAAGAGACGCGGTATAGTCCACAGATTAGCTGTGATGATAGCTGCGGTTTTACTAATGTGTCAAAGTTGCAAAATTGTGCTTAGGCATGAACATTTATATATATATGTGTATATATATAATGTTTGGGGGTTCTAAGTAATTTTCAAACAAAAAATAAAAATAATAAAAAAATAAAAAAGTAAAGTTTTATTCAAAAAAAAAAAAATAAAAAATAAATAATAAAAAATAAATTATAATATATATATATATATATATATGTTTGTGCAGATAGATAGATAGATGTGTGTGTTTGTACGAATGTGAGTTAGGGATCTTAGATTGTAAGCTCCTCGGGGGCGGGGCCTGATGTGAATGTATAATATGTCTAATGTAAAATGCTGCGAAAATGGATGGCGCTATATAAGTGTCTGTAATAAATAATAAAAATAATAAATGAGATTTTTCTCTAAGAAATTGATTGTATTCGTACAAAGCATGAAATATTGAAGTAGGAAACCATATGGGGCATTGTTATGTAATATTTATTTGAGTAAACACCAAAATAAAGTCATCAGAAATAGCATTTTATATTGATCCCGGGAATATCCGATTATTGATCCCGGGAATATCCGATTATCGATCCCGGGAATATCCGATTATCGATCCAGGGAATATCCGATTATCGATCCCGGGAATATCCGATTATTGATCCCGGGAATATCCGATTATTGATCCCGGGAATATCCGATTATTGATCCCGGGAATATCCGATTATTGATCCCGGGAATATCCGATTATCGATCCCGGGAATATCCGATTATCGATCCCGGGAATATCCGATTATCGATCCCGGGAATATCCGATTATTGATCCCGGGAATATCCGATTATTGATCCCGGGAATATCCGATTATTGATCCCGGGAATATCCGATTATTGATCCCGGGAATATCCGATTATTGATCCCGGGAATATCCGATTATTGATCCAGGGAATATCCGATTATTGATCCCGGGAATATCCGATTATCGATCCCGGGAATATCCGATTATTGATCCAGGGAATATCCGATTATTGATCCAGGGAATATCCGATTATTGATCCCGGGAATATCCGATTATTGATCCCGGGAATATCCGATTATCGATCCAGGGAATATCCGATTATCGATCCAGGGAATATCCAATTATTGATCCCGGGAATATCCGATTATCGATCCAGGGTCCGATTATTGATCCATTATCCGATTATTGATCCCGGGAATATCCGATTATTGATCCCGGGAATATCCGATTATTGATCCCGGGAATATCCGATTATTGATCCAGGGAATATCCGATTATTGATCCCGGGAATATCCGATTATTGATCCCGGGAATATCCGATTATTGATCCCGGGAATATCCGATTATTGATCCCGGGAATATCCGATTATCGATCCAGGGAATATCCGATTATCGATCCAGGGAATATC